GGAAATCATCAATTCAATTCAATCTTCATCAATGCAATTCTTTTAACCATGTCGTAGCTCAGTCGATTAAGGCAACGTCTGGGATCCTGTCGGACGTAGGTTCGAACCCTCGTCACGGCCCTTGTGGATTTGCTCTAACAAAATATATTGCAGAAACTCAACACGCCCCAGTTAAGCAAGCACAACCAGGCAATAAAGTACGAGGAAACAGTAAACATACAGTAGGAACAAAACACCAAAATGTTAGCCGCTCGGTACTAGACCCGGAGAGGAGAAGGCGTTGTTCATACTTAAAACCAACAAACGTAGAAATAACTACAGCCAAGACAACCAGAAACCAACTGAAGACAACAAACACAGTATACAAGTACAAGTAACAAAATTACAAAGAGGCATGAAAAAAAAATTGGAGAACATGACAACAAAAACACCAAAGTCCACACAGAACCTCTATCTACAGTACAACACAATAAACACTTGAAATCTTGTCATTCTCAACATTAACGCGTCTCCCAACATTTGTACTGGTACAGTCATTGAGAGGATAAACCATGCAAACTGCACGTACCATCAAGAAGAAGAACAACAACAAGACCCCTCAACACCCATTGGCCAATACAACTGGAACACACAGACACAACCATGTCTCAAAAAGGGGAACGCATCTGAATCATCAAGGAGCGCAGCACACTCAAAACAAGGCATAAAACACATTAGCGGACTTACCCAACCACCAACGATAGAGACACTGCCACGTAGGCTGTCTCCACGAATTTCCCACCGAATACGACACCCCTTTCACGACAGTCGCCAATTCAGTAGATATAGAACCATCCACCGGAGGCTGGATGGTTCTGCACCTTCAACAATGCCACCGTCAGCGCGTCACTAGCCGACTGCTGTTCGCCTTGTTCCGCAATTCTCCACCAACCATCCAGTAGAACACCTAACACACTAGGACTTCCAGGAAACCTGGTGACATACCGGATTAACCCATAGGCATCGGGCTCACATGTCTTGATAGACGGACCTACTAGGCCACCAGTCACACCTGCCGACGAAGCAGGAAGCAAAACCTTGTCAACATCTTGCAGGTCATCACCAGTGACACTACACTGCACCCTTTCCACCACGCTCCGCTTCACCGAGACCGTCGTAACAGAAGACATCAGTGGAAGCACAAAGCCAGCCTCGCAGAGTCCAGTCTTCACTGTAGGACCCGGCCCACTGGAAGCGGACGAGAGAGGCCCACCGTCACACATACCATCATCCAACGGCAACCTATCACCATATAGCGAATATCCATATTGGATATCCATACCCGAGGACCATACCTTTTCCTCCTTAGCCGAGGACTACGACACGCCAACACCCGGTACACCGCCGGAACCCCAATTAGTCACATCTCCCCAACAATGAGGCAAGACAACATCCTCGGCCAATGGCGAGTCACCCCTCACCCTTCCGAGTATCAGCCATCGCCTGCATCACGGGCGCTTCGGCAGCCACAATGGGCAGCATGCAAGCCAACGCCACCCTCGGTACAGGCGTGTCCACAGGACATTTCCTATCCCCAGTGGACATCCACTGTATACCTTCTGTTCCTGGACCAGTTCATTCACAGCGTTAGCGACGACGCCTGCACCTGACGACAGTACCACACGCTCGCCTGCAGTCACTCATGGAGCTAGCGGGGCGACCATCCCAAAACTGGCTCAAGCTAAGGAAACTCGATAAAGCCACAGCCATCACCTCCCGTCCACCTGGGAGTTATCCATGTTAGCACCACAATAGGGGCCCTAGCGTCTGAGTAGACAGCGTTCGGGGGTCGTAGTCCTAAGGGCCCTGGTTCGATTCCCGGCCGAGGCAGAAACAATTGGGGCAGAGTTTCTTTCACCCTGATGCATCTGTTCACATAGCAGTAAATAGGTACTTGGGAGTAAGACAGTCCCGTGGTGTAGTGGTAAGACACTCGCCTGGCGTTCCGCGAGCGCTATGTCATGGGTTCGTATCCTGGCCGGGGAGGATTTACTGGGCGCAATTCCTTAACTGTAGCCTCTGTTTAACGCAACAGTAAAATGTGTACTTGGATGAAAAAACGATTCTTCGCGGCAGGGGATCGTATTCCAGGGACCGTAGGATTAAGGACTTGCCCGAAACGCTACGCGTACTAGTGGCTGTACAAGAATGTAACAACTCTTGTATATATCTCAAAAAAAAAAAAAAAAAAGACAGCTGCTACAGGCTGCTTCCTGGGGATGTGTGTGTGTATGTTAGAGAAATATATTTACTAGAAATAATAGAGAAATAATAAATGGGTTAGAAAGGTGGGGATCAAGAGCTAAAAGGCGGGGTTCAAGGGCTCGATTCTGCAGACACAAATAGTAAATACAGGAGTTGTAAGGGAGAAAGTCCAACTGCTAGTTAGGTTCACACGATACCCCGCTACTACTTAACAGGTAGCCGCCAAGTGACCCACAAGACGACACCATCACGTTAGTGTGATCTCTGTGTAATGATGTAAGGGCGAAGAAGGAGAACGGCCTATTGACATAGCTCGGGTGCAAGGGGAAGGGGTGTGTGTAAAAGCCTGGTTTGTGCCTCTGAGAGGCTACGGGATCCAGTAAGTTCAGTAGAACTTCGGTATCAACCCTTTTACCCTGTCGTAGCTCAGACGATTAAGGCAGTGTCTGGGATGCAGGTTCGAATCCTCGTCGCGGCCCTTGTGGATTTGTTCATTTGATGCATCACGTTAGTGTGATCTGTGTGTCCCCTCCAAAACAGCAGAACCCGCATCCCCGGGAGCCGGTATCACATCCACAGGCGGGGGTGGGACATGGACCTCTACCGGGACACCCTTCACTACACGCAGTGCAGGCGACGGCCCAACACCCACACACACCGGCTCAACAACCCCAGGGGCCACAGCAGTCACCTGACGTGTCGCCGTAGAACTCGCCTCAACAGGCGGAGCAGCAGACAGGCAATCAGGCGCCTCAGGCACGGCACCCACTCCGTCCTCAGAACCGTTCGAACGCAACAGGGGCGGAAAATCCTCTGCACGAAGAATATGCACCCGACCAGTTGCTCCCACGTCGCACGCCGCAGCCAGATGACCCTCGTGACCACACCGATAACAGGTGCGCGGTTGACCCCGGTACTGGCAGCGGAGTGTGTAACCCAACACGGACATCGACGACGGTACACTACACTTCAGCGACATCGTCAGGGTGCGGGAGCCGTCAAGCATACCAACACAGTGCCCGGCAACGACCTTGTTCCAACGAACACTTAACACTGTCCCAAATCGTTCTGAAAGGCAGCCTGGAGGCGGAACTTGACCACAGCACGGTGGCCCTGAAGCAGCTGGATGCCCACCAGGTCCGACAGCTGTACATGCAGCACGTCCACCAGGGCGACACCAACCAACGGATGGTCCACCGGCACCGTAAACGCGAGACCAGCCGACAACGTCCTCTTCATTGTAGGGCGAGACGTCCCCATGGCTAAGTCGAACGTCATCCTGTCAGTGGCAAACCACCACCAGCAGGGCAAACAAGCAATCACCCAACGTAAACACTAGCCAGGAGCGGAGAGACCTCAGGAACGTCCGACCTGGCCGGCGGTCACCACGCAACCGACCTTGATTCACGAAGCGTCATGTATTTCTTCGTAAATGGTTGTGTCACAAAGGGTCACAGTGTTTCCGTAAGACCTGGGCAAAATTCAGGTAGGTATTCATGCGAAGTTATTTTGGATTTTGGTCTGGTTTACCTGCGGCTCGACAGAGGTGAAACAGACGATAACATTGGTCATCGTCTGGCCAATCACGTTGTTGGCTCAGCTGGACAACAGGCCAACCACATACGTTTCGTGTCAGCTGATGTATTATAACAAAATCCTTTAACATGTTAACCGAGAGATTTACCCCACTTCTCGGTGTGCCTGTAATATGGATACTTTATTTTATCCTTAAATTATGTTCTGGATTAAAGTAGTTTTGCTGGTTAGCCAGTAAAGTCCTGTGGAGGCCTCGTATGGTTTAAATATTATTGGAGAGAGTCGCGTTGAGGAACTAATGGTGGTGGTGGTGACGGTGGTGGTAGTGGTGGTGTTTGTGGTGGTGGTAGTGGTGGTGTTTGTGGTGGTGGTAGTGGTGGTGTTTGAAGAATGACATACATACACACAGGTATGAATACCCCATACATCGGTGTATACACACACACTGAGAGTTTAGTTTACTCCTATGTTCAAGAATAAACCATACTTACTAGTTTGCTCAATGAGCTACTGCCACGGTCTTAATAACCATTGTAGAGTTGACAGTCTTTAAGCTCATACTAAACAAATGCAAATGCAAATGTGTATATATATATATATATATATATATATATATATATATATATATATATATATATATATATATATATATATATATATATTGCATGTATAAATATTAAACTATTTCATTGCAACTTTCCTGCTTGAAATAATAAATCTTTTAAAACTTTAGTGTCATTATTAAATACTGTCAGAGACAAAGATTGTTTGGTCTTGATTATATGATCCACTCGACTGTTGCAAAATGACAAAGGTATGCTTTGAATTATTAAGAAAATCATTAGGAGCTATGAGGAGGACTTGAACCTGCACACTGGGTACTCTCAAGCACACGCCTTAGACTACTGTACTACAATATGCAAAAAGCAATGCACCCTAGGATTCAACTGAATCCTCTAGGAATCCCGAGGCTTCAACTGAAACCAAGTCAGGGTTTCACACAATCCCCCTCACTCCCCCATGCAATCTGGCTGAAATCCAGGGGTTCTACGCCCCATCTCCTCAACGCCTCCAAATGTATAATAAAATCACATTAACGACCATTTGTCTAGTGGTTTTTAGAACCGGCTGGACGACTTGCGAAGAATCCTCATCTCACATGTCATAAATATTTGTCACATACTCATTATCTTATTCGTCTATGGAAAGGAAACAAGACATTCAACTGCAATTTATTAGAAACGCAATATTGTTAAATCCGTTCAGTACATTCGTACACATCTTGAGCATTTATATTAAATATATTATATAAATGTATTGCTTGGAGGAGGTCGATGGGAGATATTTACTCAAAGACAACACCAAGGGCTCGCTGCTCCTCGGCGAAGCGGACCTGTGCGAGGGCGTGGGCGGGGAGAGGGTGGGGTGTGGGCAGCAGAGGGGATTCGGGTCTGAAGCCGTTCTCGTCGGCGACGTAGCGGACCTCAGCGATGGTGCCGTCGTCGAGGGGGAACCTGAAGTGGCAACCAATTGAATCAAAAGATTGAAAAAGAGAACAATTGCAGGAAATACCGCACTATACCAGTACATGTAAACAGTTTTTTTTAAACGCCTTACGCAGTAAAATAAAAATAAATAGCAGACACTCCAACAACCCAAGAAAGTAGGACTAGTAAGAGAACATAGGCCTTCAGCAGGAAGACCTCACCTGTACACGCCCTGGATGTTGCTCTGACCCTCTGAGCCAGGGCTGCCGGAGGCTTCCACGGAGATGCCGTTCTCGGCCTCGAAGGCGTAGTTGAAATTGCCGTCGCCGGAGTCCTGACGGTCGTCGCGGAGGATGGCCACAGGTGGGGAGTCCTGGGGCTGGGGGGCGGCGGCGGCCATGGCGGCCAGGCAGGCAAGAACTACCTGAAGGTGCGGGTGAAGGCAAATGTTAGTTTTCCCTGTTATAACTCAAATATGGCTTCCTACTGAGTAAGAAGGGGCTGGAATCTGGCAACCTTAATAGAGAACGATGCAGTCTATATAATTATAAATATGGTTTAACATGTTATCACTTAATTTCCAACAATATGGGGACTATTTTAAATAGATTTTTGGTTTTCGAGCATAAATAATTTTTGGTGATGTGACCGCATAGTCTTATGCAATATTCGTGGTTGGTTTATCAACAAGGGAAATAGTGGATCTCTTTCGGATAAATCAAGTGTGATTAATTAAATAATAATAACAAAGGTTTGACGGACAACGATGGATCCACCAGAGGAGAAAATATTCAAGCTGCGGGAATATAGAAGGAATTATCTGAAATCATTCTTGTAACTGAGGGATAATGGTGGTTATAGGGGTATGGGGTTCCATTTTCGTCTTGCAGTTATCAGATAATCTGCAGATCAGATTATCAGATAATAGCACCACCACAACCGTCCACCAAAAGTTCCTGCACTATGGTGCAGTTTAGGGGATCCTCTTCCAATGTTGGGCTTGTGGAAATTGTGTGAAACCCCCGGTTAGGCTTCGGAGAAGCTTCGGGATCCTCGTGAGGGCAATAGCACTCCGGGTTCCAATTCTTTTGCCCATGTCATGCTAAGGTGCGTCTGGGAATATCCTGTGCGTAGGTTCGAACCTTCATCAAGACCCTTGTGGATTTATTCAAGGCCTCTCCACCTCTGAAGGGTTATTAAGGCCACCACAAGTGACTACTGACCAACCAGCAAGAATATTTTAGTCCTGTACATATTACAGGACTGAAGTAAACTCTCAGTGTTTATACAGTGATAAGAGAGGGGACATTTCTCGGTGTGTATATATATATATATATATATATATATATATATATATATATATATATATATATATATATATATATATATATCCTTTTGGCTCCTTTGTCCTTCAAGTTCTGGTATCATAATGAGCCATATACACTAACGAGTCACAAACATCAGCAGAAGATAGGGACGAGCTACACAAGGAAGATATGTGATATGTCAAGTCACATACGACTTGATAAGGGTTCAGGACGGACCAAAACGTCGTCGCTCCTCCATCTTCTGGTGTGTGGTTTGATCATCACATCTTCAGCCACGTTACTGTGACTCGTCGTCTCATCCCTAGCATATCAAAGAGACGTGAGGAGCTGGTATACTCACAAACTTCATGGCTGTTGTGTGTGTGTGTCCGTCGGAGGCGTCGATGGTGATGCCCTGGTGGCGTAGTGCCCACTTTATATACCTGGCCTAGCACTTGTATTGGGGGCGGGGCATCTCGACAAAAGGCGGAGCTACTGGGTATGAAAGCAAAAGTAATGACCATGTGTGTTGTGTCCCGTTTCGGCGATTTTGACGATGAATGATGCGAGAGGCAAAAGGGGGGATATCGAAAGGATGTCCTCTTAGACTTGAAGAGTCATGGTGACCTTTACTTAACAAACACTGTGCGTGCTTTTGTGGCTTGAGATGACCAAGAGGATGACTGGAGAACCAGGGAAGGCCGACTAGAACAGACTGGCGTAGATTAAGTGAACGTGTTGGTGGGTCAGTAGACGGCAAGAGGGTGAAGTGTGACTTGCTGATCTGTCTCCTCCTCACACACTCGACACCGTAAACATACTTGAGATATATTTTCACCATGTTTACTGTGAATAATTCCTTGGTTCTGCGTCTGAGAGGTCATGTTTGTAGTTGCGGATTAGTTCATCAAAATTATTCCCTTCATAATTGCGACTGGTTGTGTTCATCCCTATCTTGAGATGAGATATCTTGAGATGATTTCAGGGCTTAGTGTTCCCGCAGCCCGGTCCTCGACAAGGCCTCCCTGGGCCTCCAGGCAGAAACCTCGACCAGGCCGAGACCAGGCACAGAGGCTCCCTGGAGCCTCCGGGCCTCTATGTGCTTTAATTTTGGCTTTAATTTATTTATTTATTTTCTCGTTGTCCAGTCTGAACACAGTAAGGGCACATCTGCCCAAGTCACTCCGGAGTCATAAGACATTTCTCGTGTTTTATCCTGGATGTGATTGTTCGCACATCTCTTGTTTTTTCATGCTGTGTTCTCTCTCTCTCTCTGTCGTTTTCTCTTTATAACGGGTTTTCTCCAGGTAGTGTTCTCTCAAGGTAGTGTTCTCTCAATGTAGGGTTCTCTCAAGGTAGTGTTCTCTCAAGGTGGTGTTCTCTCAAGGTAGTGTTCTTTCAACGTAGTGTTATCTCAAGGTAGTGTTCTCTCAAGGTAGTGTTCTCTCCAGGTAGTGTTCTCTTTGTGAAATGTTATCTTCATGTTGTGTTCTCTGGAAGCCATGCTGCCTCCCTGTCGAGCTGCTCCGTGCTGGGTTATTGTATATTTATAACTAGCGGGAATGAGAGTCACCTCTCGGCGCAGAGACTCCTCAGTGGTGAGGCTCAGTGTTGGAGTTGGTCTCCGCCAGCTCCTGCTACAGCACCCACTCCAGGTGCGAGTAGTTCCTGCTCCAGGCGTCAGGGTGAGTAGTTCCTGCGCCAGGCGTCAGGGTGAGTAGTTCCTGCGCCAGGCGTCAGGGTGAGTAGTTCCTGCTCCAGGCGTCTGAGTGATTAGTTCCTGCCCCAGGTGTCTGAGTGAATAGTTCGTACGCCAGGTGTCTGAGGGAGTAGTTCCTGCTCGAAGCGTGTCAGAGTAGGGACATTCGCGTCACGCGAGTGAGAAAATAAACAAGTATTCCCCCACAAGGCTCCTGTATTGACACAACCTTGCCAAGGCTCAGATGCGTGACGGCATATATTCAGACTCCTGCCAAATAAATCATGAGAACCAGCCTTGCATATTTACACGTAATATAGAATTACTCGCATCACACTCAAAAAATTAAAAGAGAAGGAGATAAATCACACAATAACCGCTATGTATATTTATATATTGAGGGAGACATAAGCGCAGCTAATATTTACCGACGTCTCGTCACCAGGGCTGCCAGACGTCGCCAGCCCAGATTTCCAGTATCCCATCCGACTATTGCCGCTCCCTTGAGAATGTAAACAATGTCTGGAGTATTTCTACCTGATTATCTTTCAATTTGACTCCTGGTTCAACCTTGACGCCGAGCGGACGTCTGGACACCTCCCCTGCCTGGGAGCCGCCGGATCATGTTTTGTTTTGCGATTTGGTTTTGATACTGCCGTTCGGCATTCCTCTTCGACAGTCCGGTTGTACGACGACTGGCGCAAATATCGACTTGTGTCACGGGATTGTCGATTGAATTTATTTTGACGTGTTCTGGCTGGTTCTCCCGGCTGGGTGACGGTGTCCGGCGCCGGCTTGGCCGAGAGGTGCCGGGAGTTGCTGGGTCTTGGTGGGCTCCTGGTGTGTCCTCAGCCGTGGTGGGCGGCTGGCATCTGCTCTGCCGGGGGGCGCTGGATGACTTTTGCGTTTTAACTGGGGGCGGAGTTTTTAATTTTGCTATCCAGTGTTTCTGTGTGGGGCGGGGCCGGTGCTTGTCACCCTGAGGGACTCCTGGGACTCCCCAGTCATCTGCCTGTCTGTGTTTCTTTGCCGCGAGACATATTAGTTTCCAGTGTTTGGCGTCACTCGTTTCGCGATTAGGCTTGGCGTTTCACCTTTCCTGGCTTTGCGATTAACCATTCACGGGTAAGCCGGGGCGCCTCCGATCCTACGATCGTCGTCGCTCCTAAATCAACAACAACTCCTAAGACGACCTTTACCGCCATCGCAAGAAAACAAAGACAATAAAATAACATGAAAGATATATATATATACATATTTTTTAATTTTTTTTCAGGAATATCCCTGCTAAAAAAAACAACAACAACAACAACAACAACATATCTTTCATGTTATTTTATTGTCTTTGTTCTCTTGCCATGGCGGTAGAGGTCGTCTTAGGAGTGAGCAGTCAATATTTTTTTTTTAATTTATAAGCTAAAATAATTTTGTAATGTATTTTGCATATCATGCAAGATAACCCATATTATGTCTCTCAGACACAATTGATGGTGCTTACATCTTTAGAGGAGAGGCAGACGAGCAGGTGAAGGAGAGGCAGACGAACAGGAGAAAATAATAATAGTGAGACAGATCGGTAAGATGAAAGAGAAAGTGCAAAGGGAAGACCAAGGAAGAGATGGAAGAAAAAAGGGAGTGAGGAAGAAAAAATAGAAGTGGGGGATGGGGAAGGGGTCAGAGTGGGGGATGAGAAGGCAAGAGAGGATAGTGGGGAATATATACGAGGAGTAAAAAAAAAGGAGAGGTAGGGAGAACTGGAAGATTAATCAGTAGAGAATGGGAAGCGAGAGAAGCGAAGGGGGAGGCGTGGTGTGTAAATAACAGCAGGTAGCAATTCAGGTCATGACACTGGCGAGGGAAAGGCAGCGACGAGCACTTCAAACTTATTTTTAACAAAATGTTTATATTAGAATTTATTGGAATGAAAAAGAAGGAATAATGAGCTTGTTTTACCTCCTATTGCCTCTGTTATTGTCTATCTGTCTCTCCTGTGTGTGTGTCTGTCTCTCCTCGAACTGCCTGTCTTCACTGTCTGTCAGTTTCTCCTGTCTGCCAGTCTCTCACGTTATGGCCCCCAACGTACACATTATCAAGTAAAAGTAGCAGTTCACACATTTCCACGTTTTCTTTCCATGTGTAGGTTAGGTTAGGCGGGTGGTTTTAGGCACGTAAGCTTCTGCTTAGATTAATACTTTGTATTTTGTACGTTGTGGCAAGTGAAGAGAGCATACTGAACCCCCACCCGCCTTACCGTGCAGTGAGAGCTCTGGCCACCCGGCTGTTTGTCAGTCACAACCCCAGGAATACGGCGAGTGCGGAACAGTCATCCTGATTTGCCATTCCTAAACAAAACAAATGCACCTGTTTTGCCTAATAAAAAATGTACGACCCTAGATAACCCGCCTACGACCCCTGGTAATCTACCTAACCATTTACGAGACGTTAAAAGGTAAATATATATATAGAGTGAAAAATTTGTATTTTAAACACCGACCGAAAACTTTGGTCGGTTCCGTAGACAATCCGACATATTAGGGGCGACCTGTCCTCATGGAGGAGATTCCCTGGACTCAGTGACTTTAAAACCACTATATAATTAATGCTATTATCTTCTCCCTCTTCATGGCTAGGTTAGGTTAGGTTGGGTTTGGTCAGGTTATGTCAAGTTGGATTAGGTTAAGACGATGTATTATTCTAAAAAATGTGTGAAATATGGAATTCGAAAATTCCAAATTTTATGAGTATCCTATATAATTTAATTTACAGAAAACCAAATTCTTTGACCGTTTCAATGCAAACGAGTTCAGCATATACTTTTTATATTTACAACCAACGATTTATAATGTAATAAAGTTATAACTTGAGAATATTCTGTTTAAGACGAAGGTTCACGTGACAATTTACAAGTAGGCTATTATTGGAACCGTAATATGCTTTCAGACTATCGCAAATTTCTAGATAACTATCCAGAAGCTTTGACTGGGGTAGGGTGGGGGGGGGGTTTGGTGTCTCGTTGTAATGGTTCAAATCTGAGAACAGGCTGAGTAGGGGGAGATACCCACTATTCATGCTCCAGTAAGCTTCATGGCTGTTAGTGTAAACTGCTGTCCCATCAGAACTTCTTTCTTGATCAACTGATCCGTCTGTGAAGATGTGAGTCGTTGTAGGTCTTGAGATGGTTTCCATTTGTCGTTCTATGACTGTTTTGAGCCTCTGCGAGTCACATGATGATTTTTTAACTGGTAATCCTTCAATGATTATCTTTAGACTCGATACTTCCCATGGAGGAGGCTGTCGAAAGTATTGATATGGTCTATCTTCTCCTTTGTTTTTAATGGTCCATTTCAAGTCCACTTTCTCTAGAATCTTGACCAGATTACCGTCCATGCACTTGTTCTATATTGAAGGTTTCTCTGAAGCGATCTGTGTATGCTATCTTTGATTGACAGTCTGGTAGTGGTTCCAACATGTTTTGCTGTTATGGTGGCTATCCTTTGTTTGATCCTGTTTTCTAAGGCTGGTAAGTTGGTTTCCATTCTTAGATTCTCTCGAGGCGTCCATATAGGTGCTCCCAGCATTGTTCTGAAGGCATCCTTTTGAGACACTTCCAGTCAGTGGAATCCCAGGTTGCATAATTTATACCATGTCGTGGTGCAGGGGTAAGGTGCGCGTTTAGTAATACCTCAATGATTATTATTGTTATTCGCAAAGAAATCACAATGACATGATATATCAATGAAAACCATTCTGTGGCAATGGAGTGACTTGAACTCACGTTCTGGTGATTCCCAGACACCTTCCTTAATCGACTCGGCCACGAGGATACAAAAGCCGACCAACCCGGAACTATATTGAATTCACATGGAGGTTCTGGTGGCACCAACCTAGGGTTTTACAGTCGACCCGACCACACTCTGGCCTCCGGTAATGACGTTCCGTGTGGTAACCGGCGGTGGAGTAGGAGTAGCTTACGTAGAGTGGTTTTTTTGTTTTGTTCTTTCACGATAACACTATTATCGCAGGCCGAGATGAGGTATTGTAAAATTTTGTTAAACAGCGCACATTATTGTTGTTGTTTCAGTTACTCGGAAAAAATGTCCATGTAGCACGGGCTATAGTGAGCCCGTAATTGAGTTCCGTTATTGACGATAACCTTGTTACTGTGATATTTGAGTCAAAGTTTTAAATGGAGGTGAGGTTTTCTCCTTTTCGCACTGATTTAATCTTTGGTTTTAATGACGTTATCTTGGTGGCGGATATAGATGCACAATGTTCACTAGTGTGTCATTTCTTCAACTGTTTTTTTAACCATTGTAGTCGCTGTGGATTTTGCATTTAATACAGCTGCTCTTGTTGGTTGAATGTTGAGTTTGATGCGCAGGGTTGCTTCACTTTCTAGTAAGTAATGTAATAGTGGTATTTCTACATCTGTTCCACATATATAACAATCTTTAACTACTGGATTTATTACCTCCCAGGTAGCACTTGTAGCCAAGTTTGAGTCTGTATATGGCTACTACAATGTCTCTCGACTGGATTTTGCAGGCTTGAAACAGCGCACATTTTGGTAATTTTTTGTTTACCTGCGAGGGAGTCATGTGAAACTTAATACAGCTTATGAAGGTAGATCTGTGAATCAGGTGTCAAGTGCACTTTAAAAGACCGGGTCAGTGTAAGAAGAGTGCAATACCTACTGGAATGTGAAGCTACTGAAGCCCTGCGTATCAAACTCAACATTAATCCAACGGCAGTAGCTGCATTAGATGCACATTCCACAGCGACTACAATGATTAGAAAAGTCGTCGAAGAATGGGACACACTAGTGAACATTCTGCATCTACATCCGCCACCAAGATAATGCTATTAAAACAAGACTAAAACCAGTGAACTAAAATAGAAGCGAAAAAGAAACGGGGAAAAAGGTGGAAACCCCACCTCCATTTAAAACTTTGACCCAAATATCAGAGTAACAAGGTTATCGCGAATAACCGAACTCAATTACGGGCTCACCATAGCCCGTGCTACATGGACATTTCATTCTGAGTAGCAAACAACAATGTAAGACGAGGCATTTGGGGTTTCAATATATCAGCTGCACAATTTCTCCAGCTCATAAGCTCATATTAAATATCTCTGCTGAACAACACAAGGAAATACAAACTACATACAGTATATATTCGTAAATTTATTTTGAATTAAGTTGTTATTTCTAATTAAATTTGGCTTAAGCTCTCATGGCCGCCACCATTAATGTCACAACGAAATCACAGCTGTCCTGTTGATGGTGATGGTAATATATTGTGGGTCGTGTTCACCACAAATTTCATTTAATCGTTTTGAAGAAGTGGTCGTTGTTCACTCGAAGGTGATGCCCCGGGCGCGCTGGTCCTCGGCGATGCGGAGGAGCTCGTGGACGTGGGCGGGGAGAGGGTGGGGCGTGGGCAGCAGCGGAGACTCGGGCCTGAAGCCGTTCTCGTCGGCGACGTAGCGGACCTCAGCGACGGTGCCGTCGTCGAGGGGGAACCTGAAGTGGCAACCAGTTGAATCAGAAGATTGAAAAAGAGAAGAGGAAAACCGCACTATAGGCAGGATATGAAATGCAGGAAATACCGCACTATACCAGTACATATAAACAGTTTTTGTTGTTGAAACGCCTTACGCAGTAAAATATAAATAAATAGCAGACACTCCAACAACCCAAGAAAGTAGGACTAGTAAGAGAACATAGGCCTACAGCAGGAAGACCTCACCTGTACACGCCCTGGATGTTGCTCTGACCCTCTGAGCCAGGGCTGCCGGAGGCTTCCACGGAGATGCCGTTCTCGGCCTCGAAGGCGTAGTTGAAGTTACCGTCGCCGGAGTCCTGACGGTCGTCGCGGAGGATGGCCACAGGTGGGGAGTCCTGGGGCTGGGGGGCGGCGGCGGCCATGGCGGCCAGGCAGGCAAGAATTACCTGTAAAAATATATTTAATTAATGTTATTTCCCATCATAGGTGAGAGACTCGGCTTACACGGCAGCGTAAGGGCCTCTGTTGACTGTGTATTAACCTGACGCGTGGTTAATGTCTTCTCAAAAGGCCATCAACAAAATGATGGGTGTTCTAACGAGGCAGTGCTATAAACTTAAAATATAGAATATAATTATTTCTTAAAAAAGTTAAGCTTTAAATTCAAACAAAGTTTTGGTAAACGCGGTATCAGTTTCTGATCCATTAAAGAGTCTGTGTATTAGTGAACGAGAAGAGTGGTATATGGGTCCTAGTCACGTTATAACTGCTCGGCTTCTGTACTCACAAGTTTCATGGTAGGAGAGAGTGCGTGTGTGCTTGTCGGGAAGCTGTGGCAGACGATGCCTGGCTGCTGGAGAGCTACTTTATATATATCCCGCCGATGCCCTGGTCCACACAAGGGGGGCGAGGTCTTAGATTTCGAGAGTCACTGGGAGAATGCACACAAGGGGGGAGAGAGAGAGAGAGAGAGGAAGGGAGGGAGGGCGGGTAGGACAGCATCTGTCAATGTCCCTGTAGGCTGTTGACTGTCGCTGATTCATATGTTGAGAATTACAAATGAATTGTCAAAACAGGGAGATGGGGGAGGGGGTGGGGAAGGGGTCAAGAGAGGTCTGGTTGGGCAGTAGAAAGGCAGACATATTGAGGACAGGTTAAGGTGAATTGATAAATGTGGGGGAAGGATGCTGCTGGCGGCCTCGTCCCGCAAGAGGTCAAGTATTAGAAAGGGATTTTTGGTGGCTCCTTAAGGTTACATACACTGAATCCGGTTCTTTTGAAAAGGGGAAGCCATTCTCACCTTAACACTTGTGTTCATAGTATTTTAAATGTTGCATTTTTTAACGTGAATAATCGAGTCATTGTCATCGCTTGTATAAACAAGAACTGATTGGTTTCTGTTCAATATTAACACATTCTAAGTTGACCCAGTCACATATGAACGTTATTTGTATCAATGGAACAAAATTTGGTGTTTGCTTGCACATGTAGCTGAATGTATATGGAACAGATTTTAGGGTCTCTAAATTATACTTAGTTTCTTTTACTTAATTATACTTTTTAATTATACTTTTAATTTAATTTTAATTTTATTTTTAATTATACTTAGTTTCTAAAAGAAACTAAGTATAATTACACACAGTTGATTTTTTCTGACACAGAGCCAGAATTTCTTTCTTTCACAATCCCGAAACGCAGGAGGAAACGTCTGATATTGTTGTATCATTGTTGAGGGACCTTCAGCAGGTGATTGTCACCATTTATTGTGACGACGTTTAAGTTATACGACCATGGATGATGTCAGCTACTGCGTAAACAAACAAAACAATCCCGTAAGCGCACTCTCATGAACACACATGCGTTCACAAGCCCATGAACACCCTAACAAATACACACATGCGCATGTACTTAGACGAGGACAGCTTGAGGATTCAAGAAGACCTGGAAAAGCTGCAGGAATGTTTGAACAAATAGTTGTTAGAGTTTAACCCAAGCAAATGTAATGCAATGAAGATAGATGTAGGGAGCAGGAGACCAGATACAAGGTATCGTTTGGGAGATGAAATACTTCAAGAGTCAGAGAGAGAGAAAGACCTGGGGGTTGATATCACGCCAGACCTGTTCCCTGGAACCCATATCAAGAGGATAACATCAGCGGCATATGCCAGGTTGGCTAACATAAGAACGGCCATTAGAAAATTGTGTAAGGAATCTTTCAGAACTTTGTATCCCACATATGTCAAACCAATCCTGGAGTATGCGGCTCCAGCATGGAGTCCATATCTAGTCAAGCATAATAATAAACTGGAAAAGGTTCAAAGGTTTGCCACCAGACCACCACCTGAACTGAGAGGTATGAGCTACGAGGAGAGACTACGGGAATTAAATCTCACGTAACTGGGAGACAGAAGAGTTAGAGGGGACATGATCACCACATACAAGATTCTCAGAGGAATTGATAGGTTAGATAAATACAGATTATTTAACACAAGGGGCACACGCACTAGGTGACACAGGTGGAAACTGAGTGCCGAAATGAGCCATAGAGACGTTAGAAAGATTTTTTCAGTGTCAGAGTAGTAGACAAATGGAATGCATTAGGAAGTGATGTGGTGGAGGCTGACTCCATACACAGCTTCAAGTGTAGATATGATAGAGCTCAGTAGGCTCAGGAACCTGTTCATTAGTTGATTGACAGTTGAGAGGCGGGACCAAACAGCCGAAGCTCAACCCCCGCAAGCAGAACTAGGTAAGTACAACTAGGTAACTAGTTAAATACACAAGGAGTCAAAACACACACACACACACACACACACACACACACACACACACACACACACACACACACACACACACACACACACACACACACACACACACGCACACACATAGAACATGAAATGCCATTGGGGGGCAAGTGTATCCTGTGAAATAATTTGTCATTATGTAGTTGTTACGAAAGTTGTGGAAGGAGGCAGAAAAGAAGGAAGAGGAACTAGCTTTCCATACAAGAAAAAGCTCCTTGAGGTTACCTTGAGGTGCTTCCGGGGCTTAGTGTCCCCGCGGCCCGGTCATCGACCAGGCCTCCTGGAGCTCTACCAAGCGCTTTTAAAAAAACTTTTTTAAAAGCACTTTCCAAGAAAGTGCTACCAGAAGAAAGACAAATTGAAATAGAAGTAACACCAGAGGAAGTAAAGAAACAATTAGAAGAGCTGGATGTGATGAAAGCCTCTGGCCCGGAGTAGACATCACCTTGGATCCTAAAAGAGGCAGCGGCAGCATTGTGTGTACCCCTTTAATTAATATAGTCTTCAACTCCTCCCCAGAAATGGGGGATATTCCTGACATAAGGAAAGTGGTAAATATAGGGCCTATATAAAAGAGAGGATGAAAACAGAAGCCACTGAACTACAGACCGGTATCATTAGCAAGTATTCGATCTAAGATTCATAAGAGGCTCAAGAAAGGTTCATTATTTAGAATACAAATTTTGTTTCCAAGCATCTTCATGGAGTCATCAATGGAAGACCTTGCTTGACCAACTTATTCTGTGACATGATGACAACTAGCAGAGAGAGAGAGAGAGAGAGAGAGAGAGAGAGAGAGAGAGGGACATATTGCATTTTCCTGGACAGGCAGACTGCTTTTGACACTCTTCCCTCACAAGCGACTCCTGTGTAAACTTGAAAAGCAGACTCGACTCACAAACGCTCAGATACACTGGTATGTGAGGGGTCTGGTAGCTGAGTGGATAGTGCGTGTGACTCGTAATCCTGTGGCCCGGGTTCGATTCTCGGCGCCTGCAGAGACAAATGGGCAGTTTCTTTTACCTTGATGTCCCTATTACCTAACAGTAAACAGGTACCTGGGAGTTAGACAGCTGTTACGGGCTGCTTCCTGGGTGTGTGTGTGGGAAAAAATAGTTAGCAGTAGTAACAGTTGATTGAGTAATAGATGAGAGGCGGACAAAAGAGCAGAGCTCAACCCCCGCAAGCACAACTAGGTGAATACAACTAGGTGAATACACACACATGCATCCACTGTATGTAGTATCCACTCTGGAGTATGCGGCCCCAGCATGGAGCCCGTACCTTGTCAAGCACAAGACGAAGCTGGAAAAAGTTCAGATGTATGCCATTAGACTAGTCCCAGAACTAAGAGGCATGAGTTACGAGGAAAGGCTGCGAGAAATGCACCTTACGACACTGGAAGACAGACGAGTAAGGGGAGACATGATCACTACCTACAGAATCCTCAGGGGAATTGATAGGGTAAACAAGGATAAACTTTTTAACACGGGTGGTATGCGAAAAAGGGGACACAGGTGGAAATTGAGTACCCAAATGAGCCACAGGGACGTTGGAAAGAACTTTTTCAGTGTCAGAGTAGTTAATAGGTGTAATACAATAGGCAGTGATGTGGTGGAGGCTGATTCCATACACAGTTTCAAATGTAGATATGACAGAGCCCAATAGGCTCAGGAATCTGTACACCAGTTGATTGACGGTTGAGAGGCGGGACCAAAGAGCCAAAGCTCAACCCTCATAAGCACAAGTAGGTGAGTACAGTCACTCTCATACACACACTCACAAGCACTTATGTAGACAAAAACATTCAAGAAAGAATAAAGTTAAGCGTGGAATTATTATATTTGTCAACATTTCGATCCATTTTCCTTAATAAAAAACGCACTAACACTTTATTTCTCAAATTACTGTTAACTCTGGCGAAATATATTCAATACATATCGATATAAAATAAAGCAATTTTGTGCCGCATATATTTTATTAAAGACTTCATGTACTGTGTGTATAAGTATAAATAATCTGTATACCATTTAGCAATAATGCAACCAATATATTGAATAAAATGCGGCTTTCTAAGGATAATATATGATGTTTACTAAAGCTACACAATAAAAAAAATTATACAATAATACTGCATTTTTGGATAAAGTAATGCTGTATTGCTTTATCTAACCTGGCTCAAATATATGCACTAAAATCTACTCAAACGAACTTCTGTCAAATATTATAAGCACATATATCACAATGAAATGATCGGCGCGTCTGAAGCTGAGACAACATACGAGATGCGTTGTGAATATGGAGAGATGAAGATACTAGATGGGTTGTGAATATGGAGAGATGAAGATACTAGATGGGTTGTGAATATGGAGAGATGAAGATACGAGACGCGTTGTGAATATGGAGATAGAACGGCCTTAATTTAGGAAGGATTATGGATCTCAATCCAAATGAACTAAATATTATTATGCAATTAAGAATTTATATTAAAAGAGATAAAAGAATCAATATATTTTTATGAGATTTTGCTTGTTCCGGAAAATGAAGAGTTGTTTATTATTGAACAACATTGTATCAAGTGTTGAGCAACAGTCTATCAAATATCGAGCGAGCAACAGTCTAACAAGTGTAGAGCAACAGACTCAAATTTTGACTAACAGCCGATCAAGTGTCAATGAAAAGACTATGAAATGTCGACGAACGGTATTTAAGTCTCTCTCTCTCTCTCTCTCTCTCTCTCTCTCTCTCTCTCTCTCTCTCTCTCTCTCTCTCTCTCTCTCTCTCTCTCTCTCTCTCTCTCTCTCTCTCTCTCTCTGTGTGTGTGTGTGTGTGTGTGTGTGTGTGTGTGTGTGTGTGTAACACGGGTGCTGACGAGTCATGCAGTGTTTCCTCAAGGAGGTAAGTAAGGGCCTCGTTCCTTGTCATTGTTTACGTCTGGCATCACAACCTTGGCGGCCAGAGGGAAGAGGCACAGTTAAACTTCAATTGAGTCATTGTGTTTGATTTTAACCCTTGTTCTGAGTCACTGACTTAGTTAACAAGCAACAACTAGCTCATGAAGGCTGTTTATATTTTTTTTTTTTTGAGTCGATTTGCTCGTTTATGGCTTGTTCTGTGTGGCGGTACCCTGCGATGCCCGGGTCTGTCTGTCAGTCTGTCGCAACCCCCTCCCCTCCTCACCCCCCACCTCTCTCTTTCAATATGTATCACCTGTGTCAGTATGTATTAATTTGTTTACATTGATGGATACAGTAAGAGACGACAGCTGATTCCTGTTAGCAGGCTGAGAGCTCTCCCTTGCCTTACCTACTAGCCTTACCTACTTACCTAGGTCAGTCTTACCTACTAGTTTCCCTGGAACACGGCCTGCCGTTCCAGATACTGCGTTAGATATAGTTTTACTCTGACATTATAGAATAAATGTGTAGATCTGAAGAAACACTTGTAATCTATAACAATGAGGTAAAGATATTCCTTGAGACGGCTTGTAAAGACATAATTATATTTTGTCCATTAATTAGTAACAAATATGAACTGCTGTTTGTGTTTCCTTTTACTCTGAGTACCGAAGACCTTCAGTGAATACATTTTTCGAGATCTTACAAATTCAGTTTTAATGAATCATACAGAAACAACGCGCTATGCACTTACAAGAAGTAAGGGAAAGATCTTTGATAAAAATGTAGAAAGGTAACCTTTTTGTAGTCATCCGCAATGTTGAAACTTTATAGTTGTATAACGAAGCAGTATACTGATGAATCTGTGAAAGATCGTCTTTTCAATGCACTTCGACAATGACATTCAGCTTATAAATGTCTGCTAAATTATTTTTTTAGATAAATTAAATGCTTTAAAATAAACAAAATCTGAACTCCTAAGGTTCAGGAGTTGGGCTTGATTCCAAAGGTCCAGATTTGGAATTAGAGTTCTAGAATGGAAAAATATTCTAGGTAGAACATTCTACCTAGATTTAATCATTGCAATGTTCAAATTTGTCATTTTAACAAACTAAGAAGATGCGTCAACAGGGTATGTGTTCACGATGTGTTCACGGTCTCACATTAAAAGGTTCAAAAGAACTATGGCTTAGGTTTGGAACTGGAGAACAAAATGGTATGTATACCTTTACATAATTTGTTAAATAAACTTGTATCTTTAATGTGCAGTGTTTTGGTTAAGGCACACATAGTGATTTAATAAGGAAAACAGGCCCTAAGCATTCTGGATGTTAGACAGTATGATGAGCTGACAAACACAGAGGAAGCTGATACTGATTGAAGCTGAAGCTGATTAGGTTGAGGCAGAGTGAAGAAGGGAAGATTAAACGGCGCACTCTTCCTCATAACACAGGAACATATTTTTACTATTTGTTTTGAAATCAGTTTAATTCTTGAAAACTGTCCGACCTTCTTTTCTGAATGATCATTTGACACTATGTCAATGATATGTTGTTTGTCAGAATCATTATCAGTAAATGGTAAAGGAAAGTACAATCATGGAACTACAAAGAATTGTCGTCATATTTTTATTTATGTAATCACATATGTTCAGGAAATATAAGGTTTCCTTTGTAGGACGTGTATTTTGGAGGAGACCAGACATGATAGTAAATATGTGTGTTTCAGACATGATAGTAAATATGTGTGTTTCAGACATGATAGTAAATATGTGTGTTTCAGACATGATAGTAAATATGTGTTTTTCAGACATGATAGTAAATATGTGTGTTTCAGACATGACAGTAAATATGTGTGTTTCAGACATGATAGTAAATATGTGTATTTCAGACATGATAGTAAGTATGTGTGTTTCAGACATGATAGTAAATATGTGTGTTTCAGACATGATAGCAAGTATGTGTGTTTCAGACATGATAGTAAATATGTGTGTTTCAGACATGATAGTAAATATGTGTGTTTCAGACATGATAGTAAATATGTGTGTTTCAGACATGATAGTAAATATGTGTGTTTCAGACATGATAGTAAATATGTGTGTTTCAGACATGACAGTAAATATGTGTGTTTCAGACATGATAGTAAATATGTGTGTTTCAGATATGATAGTAAATATGTGTGTTTCAGACATGATAGTAAATATGTGTGTTTCAGACATGATAGTAAATATGTGTGTTTCAGATATGATAGTAAATATGTGTGTATGAGCAACTTGTCCTCTTACAAAGAACTTCGCATTTCGATCGTATGCGTTACATAAGACCAAACATCGTCGTACTAGAAAATGGAAGCGGCTCACGAAAGTGACGTACCGTCCCGTTTTCTATTTGGGGTCCTCCTGGTAGGTTAGGATAAGGATCACTTTAATCTGACCGTTTTCCTGACGTTGGGGAACCTTCGGAGGACGGACTGGTACATGAGACAGGATCCGGCAGGTGTCAGGCTTGTCAACAATGCTACAAATATCGAATACAGCTCATTTTTTGTTTGCTATAAACCCATTTTGATCCCATAAGATGCCTCGCGCGCGCTGCTCCTCAGCGAAGCGGACCTGCTCGAGGGCGTGGGCGGGGAGCGGGTGGGGCGTGGGCAACAAGGAGGACTCCGGCTGGAAGCCGTTCTCGTCGGCGATGAAGCGGACCTCAGCGATGGTGCCGTCAGGGAGGGTGAACCTGAACGAACAAATGTATTATAGCAACGGCATGCAACAAAATAAGGTATTGATCAATATGTATGGGGAATAATTGCTTGAAATGTTGTTAAATTTGATCACTGAGGTCCACATTATGTCTTGCTCAATGCTGAATAGCAATGTTGCTAAATAAAGCATGCGAAAGATTGATGACCCAAACGACACACCCCACATGATGAAGGGACGACGACGTTTCGCTCCGTCCTGGATCATAATCGCACAATCGACTTGATAATAACCCAAAACGGACCGAAACGTCGTCGACTCTCCACCCATCTTCTGGTTTGTAGCTGAATCATCGTATATCTTTAGCCACGTTATTGTGTCTCATCGTCTGCGAAAGATTTACGTGAGAATACATTCCTCTTGCAGGCGATGAGTCACAATAACGTGGCTAAAGTATGTTGACCAGACCACACACTAGAAGGTGAAGGGACGACGACGTTTCGGTCCGTCCTGGACCATTCTCAAGTCGGTTGATCAAGTCGTAACGTCGTCGTCCCTTCACCTTCTAGTGTGTGGTCTGGTCAACATACATTCCTCTTCATTAATTAACTTAAAAAGTAGAAAAACAAGAAACCCCTCACCTATAGAAGCCCTGCATGTTGCTCTGTCCCTCTGCACCCGGGGTACCGGAGATATCCACAGCTATGCCGTTGTCGGCCTCGAAGGCGTAGTTGAAGTTGCCATTACCGTCATCGCGTCGGTCATCGCGGAGGATTGCAACCACCGGAGGCGAGTCCAGGAGCTGAGGTGCGGCGGCGGCCACGGCGGCCAGACAGGCGAAAATCACCTGAAGGAATAGAGAAACTGCAGTTAATAAATTAGGTTCACTGGTTCCATTGGTACCAGTGTAACAGTGCATCAATGAACCAGCGAACCAATGTACAAGTGTAGAGGTATCAGTGAAAGTGCACAACTGTACCAACGTAAAAGTGTACCAATGCATCTATGTACCAGAGCACAAATGAACCAATGTACTAATGTACTAATGTATGTAATTACAAATGTAGTAATGTATGAGAGTACAAATGTACAAGTGTACCAGTGAACCAATGTACCTTAGATCCAGTGTACCAGTGTCACAATGTACAAATGAACCGGAGAACCAGTGTGTAAATGCACCAATATGCCAGTGTACCAATAACAGTGCACCACTGAACCAGTATACAAATATACTAGTGTACCAATGATCCAGTGTACTAATGTACCAGTGTACCAATGAACCAGTGTACCAGTTTAGCAATGATTTAGTGTACCAGTGTACCAGTGTACGAATGAACAAGCGTAACATCAGAAATTACAGTATTATCGGCAGAAGTATTAGTAGTAGAATTAATAGTAGTAGTAGCAACAACACTAATTGTGGTAACAGCTGGCAGTTCTAACATCAGAAATGGTAGTTGAAGTGATATCAGTATTTGTGCAGTAATTAATAATAATAATTCATTATGTTGGGGGGACGGTTATCTCGAGATGATTTCGGGGCTTAGGGTCACCGCGGCCCGGTCCTCGACCAGGCCTCCTTTTTGTTGCACACAGCCCCAGGAAGCAGCCCGTAGCAGCTGTCTAACTCCCAGGTACCTATTTACTGCTAGGTAACAGGGGAATCGGGTAAAAGAAAATTTTATGCCCATTTGTCTCCGCCTCCACCGGGGATCGAGCCCGGAACCTCAGGACTACGAATCCGAAGCGCTGTCCATTCAACTGTCAGGCGCCAGGGGACAGGCAGCCAGGGTATATGTATATGTTAGGCTTATATCAAGGCCCCACGAAAGTTGAACTACTGACCCAGGATGCAACCCTACACAATAAGGGCCTGATAGCTGAGTGGACAGCGCTACGGATTCGCTTCAGATCCGAATTCCTTCGGATTCCTTAGGTTCCGGGCTCGATCCCCGGCGGAGGCGGAAACAAATGGGCAGAGTTTATTTTACCCTGTTACCCCTGTTCACCTAGCAGTAAATAGGTGCCTGGGAGATAGACAGCTGCTACGGGCTGCTTTCTGAGGGCGTGTAACAAAAACAGAAGGCCTGGTCGAGGACCGGGCCGCGGGGATGCTAAGCCCCGAAATCATCTGAAGATAACCTCAAGATAAGATAATACTAACTCCTGGGTACCTCTTTGCTGATGGGTGAACAGGAGCATACGACAATAGGAGACGCGCCAAAGCATTTCTGTCACGCCCGGGACTCGAACCCGGAATTCCTGATTGTGAGAAGTAAACGAACCCAACTATACGTCCTCCAAACAATGACCCAAAAGTGATTCCATGCACCCACCAAACCCCAGCTGTTTATGAAGGAAAAACGGCTTACACTCGACTCACAACTGATGACGTTCGAACACTTCCGGAACAAGTGCTTCACTGACGAATTTCGTCCGACCCACAACGCTGTAAATGCTTCACCCACGTACTACAAATACAAATAATCGCCAACAGAACCTAAATACCCAACCTAACCTAACCTATGCCTATATATGCACAATATGCTAATATATTATAATATTAATTTGTATTTGAGAAAATTCCTGTTTTGAATGAACAGCATGATAAAATTTATGAATGTGCCTGTGTGGTCGACCGCTGGATGGAATGGACTTGAGTCGAGGACTGGTTGAGCATCATCATCAGTCATGGTATCAGAGGCAGTCGTTGTAACGGTAGCACAATTATCAAAAGAAGGCACCAAGCCGGGGTGACTATCTTATTGGGGTTATCTTGAGATGATTTCGGGGCTTAGCGTCCCCGCGGCCCGCTCCTCGACTATCAGGGTGAAAGAAACTCTGCCCATTTGTTTCCGCCTCCACCGGGGATCGAACCCGGAACTTCAGGACTACGAATCCGAAACGCCGTCCACTCAGCTTTGGACGGCGTCCACAGTAGTATGAAGGACTATGTAGTAACGGTAGCACAAATAATTACCAAAAAAAGGCACCAAGCCGGGGAGACTATGACACGACAGTAGCAGAAACAACAGCATAATGGTGGTAGTTACAACAATAATGCGAGAACAAGTAACACTTCAAACAGTAAGTAACTATCCAAAAGGAGAGCGTTACGCTAAGTAGCAATGTAGGTGTCACAGAAAATACAAACGTACCAAGATACGCCAGTATCTTGGTACGTATCTTGGCCAGTATCTATCAACAGGAGTCGTAAACACAGAATGACTCTACTGTAGTATCCACAATCTAAAACAAGTGGTAAAGCACTCGCCCGGTGCATCGTGAGCGCTTTGGCCTGGGTTCGTATCCTGGCCGCGTATCCAGGATACGAACATCCAGGTATCCATTCACCCAGCAATGAATGGATACCTGATTGTTAAACGATTTAGCGGGTCATATTCCGGGTAAAATATTAGGATTAAGGACCTGCCCGAAACGCTCTGCGTGCTAGTGGCTTTACAAGAATGCAAGAACTCTTGTATATATAAATAAAAAAAGAATGCGTCAGAAACAATGAACCAGGAACTGGCAGTACTCACGAGCCTCATGTCTGATGCGTTGTGTGGGAAGGCGTCGGGGTCCAGACCCGGGCTGGCAGGCGGACGACTTTATATACCCGACGCCACCCAGACCTGCTCGACCATAGGGGAAGGAGGGGCTCTGGGGAACGAGGGAGGAGCTATGGATATCTGATCTTGACTCATTCTCTCTTTCTGTTATATTTTTATTTACACTGATCTGACTGATTCGGGTCGCTTTTAAAAATACACAAAAGGTAATCGCCGCTTATGATCTTGAATCGACACACTCGTGTAAGAGGATGAGGGTCTGCAGTCTAATGTATGGTTTGTGAGCGGATACAAGGGGCTGGCACGCATAAGGCAGCAATTAAGGTACGGACAAAAGGGAAGCGGACACCACTAGCCTCAGTGTAGGCTGATATTTGTGATGCTCCTATTGCTGTTACTGCTGATCTTCCTATGTTACTCTTAATTCACATACTGGAGCGTCGCTGACCCATACTCTGAACCTTAAAGCTCCGATTATAAGGTTATTGATATTCATAACTGTGACCATCGACAAAGAATGTTTCATGCAGCTGCCTAGAATTGAATTTTAATTTTGCCCTCGAGGGGCGAGTTTATTGGGCAGCGCCACTCATTCTGTGAGTGGACACACTGCCATAGCATCATGTACACACTCCCCAATAGGAAGAAAACCCGCTGGGTTGTTCATTCTGTCACTTGTACCCAGACACAGCTGGGACTTGCTTAACTGTCTCAAGTGAACAGCTGCCAAAACCCATAGTTATTATGATAATTTTTTAGTGGCTAAAGAGTCAAGATCCCTTGTTGCTGTGGCTGTCAGTGAGTGGCCAGGCAGTCCAAATCTCTCGCAATTGCTTCTCACTGGCCATTAACAACACACATTTACATTACTGCTACACTATCGTGATAATGAACATTTATAGGATTTAATGAGGACTTGAACGTAGCGCGATGATAAAAGTCTCGTTTATTGAGAATTAATGACACGGTCGTCCGGACGCACTACCCAACCCCCCACACCATCCCCCGAGAGTTGTGGGTCTGATTAATGACTGGGGCGTGCCTGGCTGAACGCCGGGTAGTGGCGTGGTGTCTCGTAGTGGAATGATAATTCCTCAGAATATATTTACTTTTTGTTGACTCTGAACCCTCCCTGGTCATACTGGAGGCTCTGGGCGCGCTGCTCCTCGGCGACGCGGAGGAGGTCGTGGACGTGGGCGGGGGAGCGGGTGGGGAGGCGGGATCAGGTCGGACTGCGAATGTGAAAAAATCCTGGATTTCAGAGATAACACCATCAATGGAGTCCAAGAAATGTGTGAATGCTTCAATTATAATGATGTACTGCTAGGTATTTTAGCGACGTATCCAAAATGTGCTTACTGAAGGTGCAGCCTGCATGTGACTGTAAAGCTGCCGCCCAGTTGGGTGGGTGTGGAGCACGACTAGTAACTGTGTGACTGACCATAGATGTAAAGTGCCTTGTATAGTGACTGTTGTGAACCTCTTGCTGACTCACTTGTTAAGTAAACAGATTATCGTTATGTATATGTATTTGTGTATATGATTATGATTTTATGTATATGATTGTATACATATGTACATGCATATGTAACATTAACAATTGTGTAACTAGCGTGAAAAGATTGTCACTTGCTTAAATAAACGAACTATTGGGTTCAGTTCGAGAACCCTTTTTGTGCCTCTATAACCCTCTCCACCACCGCCCACGGGATGGGTATGAGGAGCATAATAAAGAAAGAAATTGAATTGATATGGCTGGAAGTCGTTCTCGTCGGCGACGTAACGAACCTCAGCAGTTCCGCCTTCCGGGAATGTGAGCCTGACGTGAGAAGCAAAATATTTATATATTTGGTAACAATAAAACCCAATAAAGTTACATTTGTTCATAACATTGAAGAAATTCTAAATACAGAATTAAAAATGTTTGTTCTTTTCAGGTCGCAAAATTTATCATTTTATATGGAACGAACGAGAGAGAATATGTGTATGTGTGTGTGTGTGTGTGTGTGTGTGTGTGTGTGTGTGTGTGTGTTTACTATTTGTGTCTGGAGAATCGAGCTATTAGCTCTCTCTTGTTTTTTTTTGTTTGAAAACTAAAACTAGGGTTTATAAAGGCTGTCATATAATTTACCTAGTAAAACTGCAAGCAAGAGCTGTTATCCTACCTCAGATCATCTGAAGCCTGCTCCTAGAGACTCATTTATTTCATGAGAATGCACTTTGAAACTATCATATAAGGAACAAATCCATAAGGGCAATGGTGAGAATTCGAGCCTACGCACAGGATGCTCCCAGACGCGCCTTAGTCAACTGTACCACAACATGATCAAAAGAACTGCAACCGTGAGTGCTGCTGCCCTCACTAGGATCCTGCAGCTTCTTCGAAGCACAACCGAGGATTCACACAATTCCCCCCATGCACTCGGGCTCTGTCAACCAAATATTCTACCTCTACGCCTCTACTTCAATACACAGAATTGTGTGAAATCCCGGTTGTGCTTAGGAGAAGCTTCAGGATCTTCGTGAGGGCAGAAGCACTCCAGGTTGCAATTCTCTTGACCATGTGGTGGTACAGCTGACTAAGGCGCGTCTGGGAACATTCCGTGCGTAGGTTCGAACCCTCATCATTACCCTTGTTCATTTGTTAATTTGATATATCACATTATTGGGATTTCTGCGTGTATATCATATAAGGAACCTGGTGAAACTGCGTGCAAGAGATGTAATTCTATCTCAGCTTAGTTGAAACCTAATCCTGGAGGTCCATTTATTTCCATGAGTCAGTCTCTCTCTTTCTCCCTCTCTCTCTCTCTCTGTCTTGAACCTGAACTTTATGTTTTCAAATTAAACAGCAGTTATCCCCTTTGTATATTATGTGTGAAAACTCACTTTTTGGCCTACTATTCAAGCTGGTGTGTTGGCCATCGTATGTCAATGTATTAAATTAACG